CAGACAAAATCAATTGTTTAAACAATTATTTACCATAAAGGATACTTTTTTTCATTTTAAGAGTTGAATAAAATATGACATGACAACAACAACAACAGCAGACATTGATGTATCAGTTAATGAAAAGTTCCAATTGAATTTGTCTCTTAACCACCATAAGAATACTTTATGAATATGGGTTTGACCTCTGAACAATATTGTCTGTAATACAAACATTGATACATTGTTTTCTGAATCTTCATGTAAAATAACAGCAACATTTTTAATAAAATCTCGAAAAGGTTCTCAGTCCATAAGGCAAATCACACTTAAGACGTGATAAGAACACATACAACATAACAGTGGGAATTTGTGCTATAAGTTACTTGTCTAATAATTTCCTATCATCTGCCATTCAATAAACTGAGCATATCAACCTATTCGTAGAGTTGTAGTTTAGAGAGATGACTATCAACCATTAGGCTACGGACCAGAGCCCCGGCTCCTCCTACCAAGGTTTGGGCAACTGTGCAGAAGATGGCCGAGTGCGTTTCATTTCATTACCGACCTATTCGTTCTGATAGGTATTAGGAAATTATCGGAATTATATAGGTGCTTACAGCCAACTCTTATGTAATTTGGGGAGTCATTAGCCAGATAAGGAATATCAGTCCTTTGGTTTAGTGAATAACTTTTTCATGACTCCAACTGCATGAATTCCTGAAGTCAGATAAGATCTGCATAGAAGTAGAATACAGTCTTACGCGTTTAAATTTACTGTGAAGCTTCACCAATCGGAAGGTAACTTCTGACGTTGTTTTCTGAAATATTATAATCAATGATAGGTCATCAGCTTGTCTAACTAACTGCTCAGAATAGTCTTCAAGATAGTTTTTTCGGTTGGCTTGGTTCATGAGCGAGATTAATAAATACAACTGAACATTAGTTATACTTGGTTATTTTATATAAATAAGAATATTTCCAACTCATCATATGACATAAGAAATGAAGAAGGATTCAAAATACATTCCTACGTAAACTTAAATAGAAATAAATGATCTTTGAGGGATGTTAAATTACCAAGCGAAAACATATATAGTTTGAGGTTAATGAGGTAGTGCTCATTACAGATTGAGATCATTTGGAGAATCATTGAAAACCTGGGAGCATTGAATAACTGTTTCGTCCTAATATGGGACTCCTCACCCATGACCCCCTGTACCGCCGAGTCCCGAAATAGGACGAAACAGCCGGTCATTTCAAAATAGTTACATGACATGTGCGACTTCATCCTATTAGTCTCATTACTTTTCATTTCTAGCTACAGTCACAGGACACTCTTCCACATATGAGAAACAGATGTCCAGTCGTTTTTACAAGAAGCATTGGCTATTAATTCGATGTACAACGATTCTATAACCAGCATGTGCACCATAATTCCGGAGTGGTACTTTGTTCTTATTGGGATCGCAATTCAATGGAGATATGACAACACGTAGAAATGTTTGCGGATCGCTTACACTTGATAAATATCTATTCATATAAACTACTATGATTCGATTGCATATTAGATTTGTTTATTTGATCTATAACACACAGTTATACAGTATTATTTACTTGGTGACGTCTCGAGCATGATTTATCATTAATTATAATCATATCAATGTAATCACACCACTTTTGACATCTGCTTTTTATAGTCCTGTCACCTATTAATCGTTGTTTCTAATGATGAAATTTTTTCCCCATAACTCTGGTATAGGTATAGGTGTTGCGTCGATTCTATTACATGCGCAAGGACGTAAGCAAAAAAATGCAACACTTAAAAAAAGCACTAATAGTTAATAATTGTGCTCTACAGCTTATTAAGAAATTCGTAGGAAAACATAAGAAACGAAATAATAACAGTAACACGAGTGTGGATAATAACAACAAAACGAGTAGAAAGAAATTCACACCCTCCATTGTGTTACCCCATAAGAAAGGAATATCCGGAACTTTACGTAGGACCTTCAACAAAGCTGGAATTAAGGTGGCATTTAAACCTACAAACTCAGAAATAAGTTTTGTAAGTCCAAGGATCCGATAGAATCAAGTAAACAAAACAATATAATCTATCAAATCCCATTTAATGACTGAGAGTTAGGTCAAGTACATAGGCCAAACTAGCCAGTTGGGGTCAGTTAGGTTAGCAGAACATAGGAATTAGTTAGATATAGAATGACAGACCCGGATAAGATCAATACATCAACACATGTAATAGGGATGATGCAACACCTATGCTAGAGATAAGGAAAAAATGTTTACCAATAAAAACAGAGAATAAGAGGTGACAGGACTCTTAAACTCAGATACCGAAGGCAGTGTGATGACATTGATATGGTTATGATAAATAATTTGTGCTCGAAACGTCATCAAGTAAATATAATACCGTATCATTGTGTGATATAAACCAAATTAACAAATCTGATATGGAACTAAATTCTATCAGTGCCCAAGTTTTACACGTATACAGTAATTCGACAAATTGACTGATTACTTTAAACTATTCTCTTAACCTTATAGTCACTGCATTATATTTGGTAAACAAAATTGTCGCATAATTTGTCGGATAAAATCTCTCAGTTTACAAAGTTTCTCTCTGAATAGGTTGAAATGCTATCCAAATTATAGGCTTGTTAAGAATCTCATTTAGAAATATCTGAAGTTCCATAGTTGTAGGAGCATGGAAGTTTTTAATTCCATCTCAACCAGGTTGCAAGAACCTAAGTATTCATATACTGTGCTGGTTTTTCTGCAAACACACGTTTATTCGAATACAGCCAAGTCAGCTGGATCTTTTTCAATTCACAAGACAACTGCATTGCATTCACATTGAGATATGATTATCAAAAAGAAATATATCGGATAAATTATCCAACAATTAATTCAAACATAAAAAGCAAAGTAGAAGCTCGCACTGAAGTACATCGGTTCAAACTGTCAAAATATGCAAACTAATACAAAAGCGTACTGGAAGAGAAAAAAAAATGTTGGAAGATGTCAAAGACTGAGTACAACAGTGTCATTGTGATCGACTTCCAGTCATCTCATGAAGAGTAGCCAACCATTGATTCTCACAACCCCGAGGACTTCAGTTAGGTAGTTTACACCTTTCTGTAAAAGCCATAGCAAACAGTCAGAGACTTCATGAAGTGATATCACGTCTTGGCCTGGCTACCCATAGCCTTCTTCTAACCTAATCCTACCTCGGCTAGCATTCCACATCGAAACAGGCCATAGCTTTGCATGAGCAATACACATCCAAGCCATATCAGACGGTGAAGATTCGCAACCTCATCAACTGACTTTCCTTTTATGCCTAGTACTTTGTATTTACCTCGGCATTGCTCGAACGGTGATTTAACTGTATTCTAGTAATTCTACGAAGACACTTGAGTTATTTCAATGGCAACAAATAAATTATCACTGGATCCAATACCAATTAAACAACCTTACAATATGGGGTATACAGCCAGAATAATCAACGAAAATTCAAAAGGCTATAAAAAATGAAAATGAGTGTGAACAACTGTTTTATGAAGTTAGTGAGTGAAGGTTATGCCAATCTTACAAGGATAACCAGTTACATCAAGAACTATGAAAGCTATTGCTAATGCCTTTCAAAAAACATGACTTAATTAAATCCACTCAAGTTGTTACTAAGAATCAAGGAAAGTAAGATGCGGAACTCATTGTATATATTGTAGTCAATTATCATATTGATCTTCAAAAACTTTCGACACAAAAACTACTGCTCAAAAGTAACAGCTTTATTTTTGTAAAGCATATCATACAATATCTATCCTAAGTAGCTTTGTTGATTTGTATGCTGTGGACTGATTATCCATGTGTACAAAATACATGAACAATAAATCAAGTTAACTGTTAGTTAGAAAACTTTCAATTCAATAGAATGGCTAATAAGTTGTTATTTGATACTTCGATCGGATCTCTGGTTGCAGATGAGTTACTATGCGAATGACCCGATAATGACAGATATTCATGATATTATATTCATCTTGGTGACTAGCAGTGGGATTCAGGACACGCGTTTCGTCCTATTTCGGGCTCGTCAGCTGAGGTGATGTTGCTCCAGTATCCATTGCTTTAGACGCCAAAACGTTATCCACTAAGCCTAGCCCCTTGTGCAACGGGTATCCGTTGTTGTTTGTTACTTGTAACTTCACCTTGCTGCTGAATTGCTCGATGGTTAATAAGCATAGGAAATCACCGTCGCGTACAGGTCAAATTTAGCCAGTGAGGCGTATAACGAGCAGAAGTCACATGAAAGTGCTTAAATTATCCACGAAACTGCAAACCTGAATCACGTGTATCAAACAACCAAACTGACAATTTCATCGGCAATCATTATGCAAGAATTCTTACTTTTCAATCATCCAAAGTGAATAATATCTGTAAAACCGAAGAAACCTTTCACAGATATCACCACTTAGTAAACTGAACTACTCATTTATTTTTCTTTTAACTGTAATCTTTAAAAAACAAAAGAGTAGAATAATATTTAATTTGTCGTTAATATTCATAAAACTATACAATTAAGTGGCTCTTCCAAAATAAAATAGCATTCATACGTTGTATTCACTGTAAAAGATTCTAATTAACATTATAACGATTATTATTATTATTAATACCAATGTGCATATATAAAAGGAGAATTTATCAGTTATGAAGAATGGTAGCCGAAAAAATACCATTATTAAGAAAGAAAAGTAATGAGGACTATAAAAGAAATAAAGTCGAAATAAAATGCATAACAAATGACACTGATGGCAGAATGTAAAATCTTTTCACAGAAAAGCTCACTATGTGTTTTCTTTGTTAATTGATAGGTAATAATGGTAATGTCTGAAAAATGTTCTGGATGGGGATTAATTAGCGTTTATCAAAAAAGATTGAAAGTTAGTTTTTTAAAAATCCGAATTTAACTTCTTTAAAAAAACTCTTCTCGGCTTTCCTGCATATATATATATATATATATATATATATATATATATATATATATAATGTTCTGATGAGTGAGTGATTGCAAAGTACTGATTGCACTTATCACAATTACCGTTAGCTCTACACCTAATTTCTATTAATCCATTGCATACGAGACAATTGCCATTGAAATTAAACCAACGAAGATAAGAGTGAGATGAATAAGTGATTCTCTAGAGTAAATGAAAGAAAAGCATGAGAGAAATTTGATAAAATTTAAACTCACTTATAAAAATGCATATCTCATTCAATAATAAAAAGAAACAGTATAGATAGATGTCTACTTTGAAAATGAATTCCAGTATAATTATATATATATATATATATATATATATATATATATATATATATATATATATATATATATATATATATATATATATATATATATATATATATATGGTTGTATTCATCCTGGACTGACATCAGTTGGAGAACCAATGAAAATATGAGAGCACGGGACAGTTGTTTTGTCCTAGCATGGGATGCCCCAGTAACACGCACCCAAGATATTATCAGAGATTGTACTCAAAACCTTCGACGTCCAAGGAGAATGTTGTAATCATTCAGCGACTGGGCAGAATCAAAAGGTTGACCTTTTTTAACTTCGGTCAATTCGTGATACAATGCTGTTACCTACCAAAGTCTTCAGTTGGCATGCACTTCTCTTCCGAGTGGTTGACTCCACTGGTCACATCTTATTAGAACTTCAGGATATCCATGTCGAAGTAGGTCACTAATGAGCACTATAAGTATGTCACGAGATGACAACAGTATGGAAACTGTGGACTATTGAATTCCGACACAGTAGTTGGATGGTTAACGCGTTCGCTGTGAGATGAAAAGGTCCAGAATTCAATCCCTGAGAGGATCGTGGGTGCGTGCTGGTGAGAAGTTCTATATTAAGGTGAAATACCTGTCCAGTGCTTCCAGATTTCCAGGGGTTTTCCAACTGATATCAGTCTATGAGTAATACAACCTTAAAAATGAAATACTCATAAACTTGAAACCACTATATATAATGTTTAAAAGCAGCAGCCCATGAGGAAAACCAAACCTAAATAATGAGAGATTGAAATAACAATAATGGTGGTTATAATTATGTTTATGTTGACAGCCTACTTCCATGTGTATCTACTAGTTCAGTGGCTGTTGTGGAGCAACATACATTGGTCGTAGTCAGAGACTGCTGTCAACATGTGTACGAGAAAGTATTCCAGCTTGGTTTTATAAGGGTAAAAGGAAATGCATTAGTAATTATATCCATGAGAATTAAATAGATTCTAACTATTCAACCAACCCGAAAAATGATTTTAAGGTTGTCAATCGAATTCCCTAAAACATTTCATATTTTCTACGTTTTCAACTTCTTAAAACAGTAAACGTTTTCGCTATTTATGAATGAACTGAAGCCTGACCTTTATGTGTACATAAGAAGTACACGCATAGTCTTTGTCCCTACCTTGGCCTTAACAAGGTCTTGTTTTCTTTCGTTTCGTTCGTTTTTTGAATTCCCTCCTCCCGTTATTAGGTTATTCTTTGTACTCTTTTGTCGTCATTATCATTATTTTTATTTCACATTCCAGCATTACTTCAGCATTTAATCCTCGAGATAATTGCAGCTTTCAACAAAAGTTTCAATTTATCCCAATTAATTCACATGAGAGTAAAACTTGAGCACTGAGGTAGAATGTAATTCCATTTTAATTGATTTGTTAAATATATCGTACAGTAAAACAGCATTGTTTACTGGATTACGTTTCGGACATAATTTATTGTCCATAATCATATCATCTGTTGATATGACTATGGACAATAAATTATGTCCGAAACGTAATCCAGTAAATAATATTGTTCCATTTTATGATACACCTACTAAATTAACTAAAATGTAATTATTTTACCCATATTACCTAATTCTTTAATTGTTTCTTAACTTCATCTTTTTTTCATCCATTTATAGTCTACGTGCACCTTATAAACAATTCAAAAAAATCTTACGTAACCCCGTTTGTTATCATCCAACCTTTACGTCACCAACTGGCAACATTATTGTAACGGCAACAACAATTGTTGCTATTTCAACCTCACATTATTTAAGTCAAATCTTCCTTCACAATCCACTTACACTTCCGCCCTTTCTATTTCCAATGAAGTTGGGGATGGTCAAACATATCACCAAATGTTTGGAAAATCAACTACATTCGAATACTTTCATAAGTATCAAGGATAAACAGGCATCACCGTCTATATACAAATAGACAATAGGATCAACCTCGAAACTGTCTTTAGACTATTTTATAGCGGTTATCACGACTGCATACATAGGCTTGTTCAAACCTCAATTAAGAGAAAGTTTAAAGCCCCTTTTTGTAATCGAAAACAATTTATCAACACCTTAAACCTTGGTTATCCATGAAAGTCAACAAGCAAACTCTTATGCCACACATTAAGAACCTATCATAAATCATCATCTGACTGAGACAGCCTTAGTTTGGCAGGCTAGTATTTATACTGGGTGATGATTCAAGGTGAAATGAAAATCTTGCCGCGGTCCAGATTTTCATTTCACCTTCAATCATCAGGTTAACCAATAATCAAGAGGCGTATAAGCCCGATTTTTTGACCAATAAAGATGATGAACAGCTGTGAGTTCTGAGGTCAGATGGAAAGATGGTTTGTATTCAATGACAGAAACACCACAAGAAATTACTGGTCACATGCCACTTCGCCAGGACAAGGTACCAAATCACTTACAGAGGAATCCTGATAGCGCACTTCGGATTAAAGTTAGTACTGATGATTTCGTCTAAGAAGATAATGAAAGCTTCAGTGAAAGCAACAACAACAACAACAACAACAAAAAATGGGTATTCCATCGTTGATACCATTTAGGTGAACGAAAACCAAATGGTTACTTGCAGTTTTAGTAAAGCTAGTAAAGTGCTTAAGATATAGGCAACGTGAAATGATTCTACATGCTAGAATAAAACGAACAGTTTTGTTCAAAAGATGCAAAAATAAAGGTGGGAATCCGATGGCTCATATTTCCAACTCCTGTCAGTTCACGACATAGCGTGACCGCCACCCAATGTCTTCGTTGAGTATTTGTCCTCACGGCCACCAGGTTTGCCCCACTAGTGACGACTTTTTATTGGGACTTCAAGAATCACCTCTCGAAGCTAGTCACCAATTAACACTAGTTCAACTGAATTTGGGCGGCTGTCACGCTATGTCGTGGACTGACAGAAGTTGAAAATATAAACCATTAAATTCCCACCCAGTGGCTCAATGGCAAAGTGCTGATTACAGAACCTGAAGGTCGCGGGTTCGAAACCTGGCGGGGTATGGTCGTGGGTGCGCACTGCTGAAGAGTCCCAATCTAGGGCGAAACAGCTTTCCGGTGCTCCCAGGTCTCCAATGTTCCGCCAACTAAGTCAGTCCATGATGAATACCAACTTGAAAAATCTCTAAATCCCCACAAATCCCCAAATTCAATCAAATTCTTTTAATATTTCATACCCATCATTGATTATAGTTAGTATGACTATTTTCTAACCCATTTTTCATCACTGTGATTGATTGCACATTTTCCTTATACACCCGGTGATCTCTTTCTAACTTTAGAAACGACTTACTATTTCACTCTAGAAATTTCAGTTTTGATGACCTAGTGTATTGACGTATTAGGCAATTATAGACTGTTTATTTGTTATTGTAAAAACGATCGTACAGATACTGAAAATGATTCATCATAAGGGAAAAAATTCCAAATTATTGAGAAAATGCTGGCAAACGTTGTATGACTTATGAAAACGTATCCATATTATGTTGAGGTTTTTCATAGTGATTCAATGAGACATTGAACAAGTTTCCCTAAGACATCTTGATCATATATACCTCAAGTAATTATAGGCTTAAAACTTATTCCTCTAAGGCTTTATCAAAAAGGTGTTCAGACGTTGCCAATCAAAACACATATCAGCATTTTACATCACTGATCTATTGGAGAAAGGAGAAAGGGAAAACAGATAAACCATACGAAATTCCTAAACATACCAAAAAATTACTGTAACAGGAATTCAATAACTTATTTTGATATAATTAGTAAACAAAATGCAGTCTTACTTGAAAGATAGCTCTTTTAAAATATCGGGTAGAAGGGAAACCAAAGCAATGTAGAGAAAGCCACCAGCGGTGAAGGGGAGAATCCATTTTGTTGTACAACCTATAGAGATAAGAGAGAGAGTTGATTTAAGAGGGAAAATATAAGAATTTTGCATCTTCAAATTCTCTCCTCTATTAAAAGTTATCTACTTGAACATATATACAGTTAATCAACCCAGAAGTTGCCAAAGAGATTTGGTAAACTTGAAAAACTAGCAACCAACAGATACCTATCAAATTTGTTGAGATAAAAATTAACTTGAGTAGACACTAATGTGAGTTATCAGCTTAACAAATTAAATGTTAAAATTCTTTTAAAAGCATAGAGCAATTTAACCGTATAACCACCATGTGTTGAACAGATGATGATCATAGTTCAGTCAGTGAGAATCAACATGAGATCCGGTATTACTGCGTAACCGTTCAGGTTATTACACCTCATTTCAGCACATCAAGAGAAAAGATAGAGGCATAAGGAAGAGAGTAGTCAAAAGTAGTACAAAATTCGTGAAACGATGACAAAGAGGTATGAGACAACAATAAAATTTGGTAAGACGATTACGATGGTTATATGTGGATAGGCTATTGCGAACGAAAAGCACTCATTCACTCCGTGCATATCCATGGAGTAGGTAATGAGCCACACCTAATGTGTGAGGGCTAGTGTTACTACCTGACTGTCCAAACCTCGGTAGGTGAAGCGCAGCTCGAATCTGTTACACACTGGTTGATAGTCATCTCCCTAAATCACTGAGTCACAGCTCCGTGAAGGGTTGCTCAAAGAAAGCTTAGATTCTTGGTCGACGGTTCTTAGCAAACAACGAATCACAGGAGTAAAACCATGACGGTTGTAGAAGCAGATATTGATTTTCAGCTGATACGCTTACTTTCAGAGAAAAACTAACCCTCCCTCGTATAGACCAACGAAAAATATTTTTGCAAATACCTCTGAAAGTTGATTTCAAAATAAAAAGATGAATAATCCATATTATATGGAAACAATAACAGCAGATAAATGGAAGACAGATACACAGTATTGTGTTCAAGGTAGGTGAACGTATATACTATACACTAATATATACTCCTCATATAGACTATCCACGTACAGTTAGGCTTAAACTTCACACTAAAAAAAACTCATCATCAATGAAAACAAACAGATAATCACTATAATTATGATCGGCACGACTATAAGCTCTTATTATTAACCACTAAGTAACAGTAATATAACCATTACAGCTATAATCAACTATATTCATACTAGTAGCAACTGACCATATCTATAGGTTGATGCTTCAAGATATATAAAACAGAGGTTTTACAATACATGTATTAAACGAAACCTTTACGTAATGTATGCATAGATTATTTATTCCATCTACCCATGCCATTAAGAATTAAACATATTGAGGCCTAATATATATAAATAATAACAGTAGTAATGATAACAGTACTAGTGTTACAGACATTAATATTCAAATGTAAAAACACACTGTTTATAATGAACTAGAATTTAGAAACTTTAAACAAAACTTATAAAGAATTAAATTGATTTACACAGATGATACATTGACCTGGTAAATTATAAAGGAAAAGGTGAAAATTATGTTAATTTGCTTGGTTCTGGCTAGCAGAAGAATCTAAGACGTGCGTTTCGTCCTAATTGGGACTTGTCAGCTGAATATACCTGCACCCCAGTGAGTGATATTGTTTCCACTAAAACTCGAACCTCGAAAAGGTGAAAAGTTATCAAACAAATAAGCAGACTCAGTTATCGATGTATTTAGGTATCTGATGATAAGCAACGTAAAAAAACACCGCTTGTTATCATTCCATGACAATGTTTTCTACAAATTTAACGAGACTGATTGACACATACTATGCCCAACTTTTTATTTTTACGCTTCAGTAAACACTAAACATCACCACTAGCACCTTCTTGTTCACCACCATATGGCAGTAATTTTAACTTAATCATACACTGAAGCTCAAATAGAAGAGTGGTTACTTCTTGTATTGAGAGTAAAATCTTACATTCTCTATACTCATGAGTATGAAGAGGTGGAAACCTAGATTTGTAGCGTTCCAATATCGCTAAATCTGATGATGATGATGAAATGTTAACAAACGAATATGAAAGTTTAAAAGACATTGAAATTAGGAAATGTAACTCAATAACCACGTGTATGCTTATGTAGAAGGCAATCAGCAATGCTAATACTACAATACGGCCGCCTGCCAGATCCAGGAAGGTGAAGTATGGTTTGAACTCGTGACCCACCACTACTGGCTGAAATTCGAGAGCTTTCATCAACCAGCCACAACTACATGATTCATTAGACAACCAATGCTACGAGACCAAGAAGACAAGCTCTCGGATATACGTATGTTTATGCAGAACAATAGGTAACTTTAAGTATGTTATGAACAATACTGTCAAATGGATAGAACACATAAAAGTGTGTCGGTTTAAGTTCTCTTATTTCACAAAATCACAGAAAAAGAAAATCAACAAAAGAAGAACGATATTAGCATCACCAACAATCAGATGAATGATAGGTGAAGAATAGACACAAGTAAATTAAAAACCCAAGAAGTATACCAAGAAAAACGTGGGTACGCCTCTAACATTATGGTAAGCCTTAACCAGCATCTCAACGACTATAGTCAGGTAAGCAACATAGCTCAAATTGACAGTTAACAACCTTATCTTATTTTTGCTTTTTCACGAACTAGTCGCACTCTAGCTGTTAAAGTACGCTTTGAGGTAGGTGTTGGTTTAGCATCTATAGGACTTCATCACATGTCCTGTATACTATTGGAGGCATGTAGGCGGATGACACATCTCGGCTTCCCACACCATGGAAAGCTATTTCTTCTTAAGATGACTAAAAGGGGAAAAGATTTCTGCGAACACAGAGTCCATGCTACATCTGCTTGATGTCTGTCATACACAAAATTTTGCAAAATGTTCTCAAATATGGTTGTCCTATTGCCGGATAGAGAAAACTCATACCACCGACACCAGAATACAGTGCCGCACGGAGGAGTATCCTATTTTTATAGTCAATTTTCCTAACCTCCCCCATTCCCATAGAGAAGGCAGCATCAGTGTGGCACTGGCGGTCATCCAAGAGCAACAAATTCCTGATGGTTCTTTAGGCTGAGAGGAGTGCAGCAGATTTCACACCCATTTCGAGTTAGTATTTCTTACTTGGTAGTTTAATTATATGCGAATAATTCTGCCAAGATATCCATAATTGGCTGTTTGTAAGCTCCTAATATCGTTTGACTTTAATGGTCATGTCTTACAGAAGGTAAGGTAAGAATAAGCAAACTTTTACAGTATTTTTGATCTTTGAATAGATAGCCGAATATCACACCAGCGATGATATAGCTTTTGAAATGTCAAACCTTTCCTGTCGATATATTTGAGGTTGTTCACGATGCTGATAAAGTATTTTATGAATGGTGACTATCATAACAATGCATTTCAGGCATACTGGAAGAAGCATTTTATCTTAGAGGCCAATCCAATTCAAAAACAGCTAACTTCATAAATTTTACAATCCGATGGAAAAGTCATACTACTGCTGACTGCACAGATATATGAAAAAAATAGTTTTGCTTGAGGAAAACAGACATCTACAGACGTTGTTGTCTTCGCACTGTCAGGTTATAATACGCCTATGTACCCTAACGGTTTCCGTATGGCTAATTTGAGGCATATAGTAAACATAAACAAATTTAAACTTTTTTTAAACTCAAAAAATATCGTGCGTGACCAACCTCAAGCAGCTGTTCCTTGAGTACTACTATAGTCACACAGTAAAGTCGATACAGAATAACAACTTTTCATAGTGAATGTAATCAGAAAGTATCAACTACTGTCTGTCAGCACGTAAGACCATTCTAATTATCACCCACCTTCCAGATCGTTCCTAAAAATCAGTGGTTGGAGATTCTCGATGATACGGCTTAAAAGCAATCAAGAAGGCGTGGATGTAAACACCCTTTGTCAAATTCACAGTATTAGGTATTTTCAGTAACCCTTGCCTATTTATTCTCCCTCCTTTCAAAAACTTTTGTCTACACTCAAGCCATTCATTTTCGATCCACCTCCTCTTCGGATGCTGCTGTGAAATGTGATAACTTGAACCAATAAATTCCTGTACCATGTTCTACATTGATCAGTCTGTCTGTTTTCGAACACATGGATACTTACGAGTATGTGGAACCAGCTTTATTTTCGGCCTGAAGGTGGGGTTGGACTTAGTTAACCAAAAGATATTGTCAATGTCTCTCACTGAAACGTGTACATCAATATACCGAAGGCTCTACATTCAAACACTGGTGGTCGTGTTAGGGCTTACAATTCTTGCATTAAGTGGTGAACGTCATGGATATTCATTCTCTCTATTTATATTCAATTTTACCACACAAGTGCACTTATATGGTTACTACCTTCCCCTTTAAATCTATCAGGAGTAATGTCTTTGGAGATGACACAGTACTGCTAAACGTAGACCGTGACAACATGTAGAATACCGTGAATCCTTTGTGTGATCGGTACGTGCTTCTCTACTGTTTAATCTAGTCAGCTGTTTAATGATTGATCTAAATCGACAACTAGTTTATCAATGGGAAGGGAATTGGTTGTGTGCTGACTACTTTACAGTCTGAAAAGTGAATCAGCCCTGGTTGGTCGACAAAAGGTCGACAAGAATACGAGAATCAAAATGCACTCAGCAACCACGTGCACACACACAGTAAACAGTGAGCCACACCTACTGTGTTAGGGCTAATGATACTATTTGGGTGCCTGCGCCTTGGTAGGTGGAACGATGCTTGAGCCCATGACCCATTAGTTGAAAGTCAACTGCCTAAACCAGTGAACCACAACTCCGTACGTACGAATACAAAAGATTCGATTTACTATTACAAACTTACGTTACATACGATGTTACCAAAGTAATACAAACACTTAACGCACCTTTTGGGCCCTATTTAGAGTAAAACTTTATCGCAAAATATATTAATTTTTGGGCTACATGAAGTATGTTTAGTTCATTTTTGGTTCTTTACATGATATTCTGAAAAGTTTACTGCTAAAGAGTAAGGAAGAGTACGAACCTATTACTGGCGCTTAAAACGAAGTCCCGACCGATAGTTGCTATCTAAGTGTGGTGGTCGGGTCTGCACAAATCATTAAACCAGTGAGCTGGGTTGGCTAAAACGATTGTCCTCTGAGGTTATATCATGCCAGTAAGGTTCGGTGAATAGTGGTAAGGCTAAAAATAATTACCCTTATGCTGTAAGTAGCTTACGACGTGGTGAAAGTTAGATGGCACAGTTGTATTCCTAGCTGAACTGGGTGTGAAGGCATTAATATTTTCCCGAAGAACGACCAGCAATAACATGTTGATACTGCCTTCTGTAAATTAGAACAAGACATGTAGGCGAACAATATTGTTTTCAATTCGATCGTCTTCAGTCTTTACTCTAATACAAATAGCTCTATATATATAATTAAATCAACCATGTAGATTTGTCGGTTGTGATAAACGTTTTAAAATAACGATAGTGATAATAATTCAAATAATAATAATGATAGTGATAAGAGTGATAAAGTTGACTAAAGCACATACAATATAGATGATAATGATGATAAGAACCAAGAAAGGAGCATGAAAATCGATAATCGAAATGGGTCAAAAGCTTGCTTGGAAAAATAAAAGTTACAAAATACTGAAGGGCGAGGTAAGTGAATAAACAAAGCCTAGACAAATACAGTAAGTATACGAAAGGGGTGAAAAATAAGAAAACCGGTAAGAAAACTGAATGATAAGGTTATCAACTAAGTATTCCCTGGTCAAGGGAGAGATAAGGCAAGTACAAATTTCTTCTGGATACAAAAGCTAGGATTATTAGCTCGAATTCCCACAGCTTCTGCTATGCGTAAAAGACAAGTTTGAATACCTTTCGAAAGATGAGAAAGCATTGTTCTTATCTAAAAAGTGACCACTATCAACGAGGTGAGATAAAACCGAGCTTCTGATGTATTTTATCTGTCCCTTTTCCAACCATGTACCATGAAGGTAGATGCTCAGCAACACGTTTGTTAAGTTGTCTAGTAGTACGCCCTATATAGCTTTCTCCACAGGAGCAGCTAAACTTGTAAATACACATAGAAACGGCAAAACTAGATACCTTATCTTTTGTTTGAGCCGCGACAATTGGTCGACTTGGAAATGATAGACAGAGTTGTGCGGCGTAGAAGGTCCTCTCAATGGCTCTAGAAAGTCTCAGATATAAAACTTCTCCGGCCATATCCCCATTAAATTGCAATTTCATAAACAAAGATTTTTTTTTCGTATGGTAATAATTTCAGGTTTATTCTCCCTGGCTTTGTCCATGTCTTTTTATGGAACTCTTAGGATAGCCCATTTCAACCATTTCAGTCTAACTCCTTCTGTACTAGATCATCCGAACATATTTTTCGTGCTGTTAGTGAGGCATTTGACTAGGTTTGCTTTGTACCAAATTGGTACATGACTAAGAAAATATGTATACTGACTTATAGATGTAGTCTTCCTGTACTTTTCTAGGCTTTGTTTATTCACTTACCTCGCCCTTCAGTATTTTGTAACTTTTATTTTTCCAAACAAGCTTTTGACCCATTTCGATTATCGATTTTCATGCTCCTTTCTTGGTTCTTATCATCATTATCATCTATATTGCATGTGCTTTAGTCAACTTTATCACTCTTATCACCATTATTATTATTATTTGAATTATTATCACTATCGTTATTTTAAAACGTTTATCACAACCGACAAATCTACATGGTTGGTTTAATTATATATATATATATATATATATATATATATATATATATATATATATATATATATATATATATATATATAAAGCTATTTGTATTAGAGTAAAGCCTGAAGAGGATCAAACTGAAAACAATATTGTTCGTTTACACGTCTTCTTTTAACTGCCCTCTGTATCGGAAGGAGTAAGAAAAGATTGACCAGCAAAAATAGAACACTCCTTCCTTCTATGCAGTTTTCCGGTACTCACAGTATGAAATTTTGTTCCTTGATAGCACAACAAAATCTCAATCCAAGACTCTTAAGGAGGTTGTAACCGGCCTCAAGTAGACGTAAAACTAAAACATTTTTCTTTCAGGTACCTTATAGAAACCACTAGCACGATGTGGGCAGCCAAGAAGTGTCAAGTTGAAAATAAGACTTAGTTAATCACTTTAAACCCTTTAAACATGCATATATAGGCTAGGGTTACTTTATTAATTATGTTTCTTGTTATTTGGCTTCATATTATACATCAAAAGGATTGAAACTCACCGGTTACTGATGCATTGGCACAAAGTGTGAGAATAGCACCGAGAGTAGATCCAGAAGCTGTAGCTAACTAAAGTTAAAATAAAACAATGATAAATAATTTACAAACATTTAAACAAAGTTTGAATATAAAGGTTATTTTTTTTTAGGGAAAGGAAACCACCACTTCAACTAATTATCATAGGATGAGCAATTGTATCATTCAAAGAAGGAATAATGCTTTTTTCATTGGTACGAAGCCAAAAAGCAACGAAACATTTGAAGTAAAGGCGAGCAGAAATAAACACACAATTGATCGATTGAATCTGCACTAGCTGTTGCAGATGAAACGATAATCTGTCATCTGTTGGTGTGAAACTATGGGGTACTAATACGTTTTATATTGAATTTGGGAGTTTGTGATTTTTTAAGTTGGTATTCATCATGGACTGACGTCAATTAGAGAAACACTGGGAACCTGGGAGCACTGAACAGCTGTTTCGTCCCAGTGTGGGGCTCTTCAGCAGCCGGCACACACGACCCGACCCCACCAGGGGGTCGGACCCGTGACCTTACGGTTCCGTGACCAGCACGTTATCGTTGAGCCCCTAGGTCGGGATCCAATGGTCCACCGGTCGCAACCAGTGGAGCAAACCTGGTGGCCGTGAGGACAGATAGTCAACGAAGACATCGGGTGGCGGTCACGCTATCTCGTGAACCGACAGAAGTTGGAAACACGAACCATTGGATTCCCACCCAGTGGCTCAATAGTAACGTGATGGCCACGGAACCTGAAGGTGGTGGGTTCGATCCCGGTGGAGTGGGGTCGTGGGTGCGCACTGCTAAAAAGTCCCAAACTAGGACGAAACAGCTGTCCGGTGCTCCCAGGTCTCCAATATTCCTCCAACTAATGTCAGTCCATGACGAATACCTACTTGGAAAAAAGTTTTATATTACCCTCGGTTGACGTTTTGTTTTCTGCAGGTTGGATAGTAACTGGCTTGCCCTAGTTACATCTCCGTACAGGAGTGAGTGTTTCATTTCACCTATGTCTTGAAATCTTGATATTATTGAAGCACATATATACATCAGTTGGCCAAACTTTCGATCTTCTGATATTTGTTCAGTTTGAGGTATGTCAGTCATAATTCGATTACAGTGAGTCAATCGTTTAAAAATCGTGAGCTAAATTAACCAGTTTGACCACCCACTCCACTATGATATGCATTCAGCAAGATACAGTTACAATTATTTACGTTTATACTCATTTACAATTACAACAGAGCTTATCATATCAAGTGGTAACAGTTAGGAGAGTTCAACACATGCTTATGGTAGTAGCTAGTACCGTGTTCAATGTACTTCTTAATTATTTGAGATTTTCGATTAATCCACTCAAATAAATAGGCGGTAATACACTACGCGTTGTGTTATCAAAAGCATATATATACTAAGTGTACACACCTTAAAAAACTTCTTTGGTTAGCAAAATTTACAGTTATATGAAAGAAACCAGTTTGAATAGTGCTTTTTAACACCATGTTGTTTGAAAAACAAAGTTGAATAGGATGCTTAATGAGAATATATTTTATCCACAGATAATTGTTTTAAAAAGTTTTATAGCAAAATAAAATACTTATCGGGTTTTACATCTATATCTACAAATTATTCAGCATAATCTTCATTTGATACCAACATGTTTAAATTAATTCGGGTATATGAATTAAAAGATAACAGTAAACGTGATAACAAAAAAAATCTTGGAAATTTTATATTTTTAGTGGTCAATTCTTGTAGGTGTGTGTGTGTGACTGAATTGTGTATATGCAGAGATAGAGAGGAATAAAATTATTGTCGCATAGCGATTAGATAATAAAGTGTTAAAATTCCTAATCAATTATGAAATTAAGGTTGGAAAATAAAATGATAATGATAAAAGGGATAGTATTTACATTTATCCGGGTGACCAGGAAGAAATTTAATGTAATTGTATCTGGGTTGAAGTTGAAAGCCATGGGAGGGAAAGGGAACGAACAAACATCTGAATGCATAAATCAGGTGTGAAAAACTTAATTGCTATAGCTTCTACTACACTTAGCAATCGGAGGCGTACAAACTTGGAGTATTGTGATGAAACTTTGTAAATAATAGTAAATGCTGAGGTTTTGTCAATCATATGCTCAGTATCTACTAGATGGGCGAGTATTGAGCTTTTGTGAAACCTGACGAGAATTTACTGAAAATACGTATTCGCTTCAAACTGTCTTCTAACTATTAGAATAATTATTAAGACAAAATACGTTAGTTAATTTACTTGGTTGTGGTTAGCAGGGGACGCACGTTTCGTCCTATTTGGGACTCGTCAGCTGAATGTACCTGTACTACAGTGCAAAGTGTTGTTCTCACTGAGACTCGGGTCTCATACACATCTCTTCAAACGCCAAAGCGTTATCCACTAGGCCACTCAAGTACAATAGCCAACTCTTGTACGACTGGTATTGGTTATAATTATTTGTTGATATACTTGTAGTTCTCTGTTGTTATACTCAATCGAATTGTTCGACCTCTATTAACATATGGGCTCCTATGCGGATGCCTTGATATTGCCTGAATATTTACAATGGTAATTTACCTGGTTGTAGCTAGCTGATATGAATTCTAGTCAAGACTTGACCGGATAGTTTCACAAATATTGAGCGCCCGGTGAAAAGTTGGTATTACATGTAAGTTGCATTTCGACAACAAATTTCAGCGTGCTTGAAATAATAAATTCCGACGTTGCACACGGAAGTCTGGCCCGAGCTTCTTCAGGGAAATAATCAAAATCTACATTATCGTAGATACACAGAATACATCAAAAATTGTACATTTCACCTCATTCTCCAATCGTGTCTGGATTGCGATTGTTTTTCTCTGCAGAGTAATTTCTGCCATGGTCTCTAAAGTGAGTGCGATGAAATTAGCTGTGTATACAAAATGTTTTTCTTCCTTTCCTTCCTTTTCATTTAGTTTACTGATGCCTTGTTTTAGAAACTGATATCTAAAAAAATATGTCTACGTTTGGTTTTTTCGCGACTATTGATTTATATATTTAGGTAGCATATAGCTGGTGAGAATCCTAGAGACCAACGGAGTAACACAACTTTATCTCATTGCGTAAATGCTGTTTCTGTTGGTTTATACTTTTTATGAGTACGCCCAAAGACTACCCTAACAACTACTGAGATGACAAATAACAGTTTTGTAGTATACGAAAGGAAAACCTTTTTAGGTGAAATAAGAAAACCTAATTAGTTATTTCACTCTTTGCTATAGTGGCCTTTAAAGCCCACTTTTTTTATCTAAACCGCTTAGATCACCTAAAGTAACTCAAAAGAACAGCCTAGCAACTGATGAAATAACAAATCGATTTTCGCTGTTTCAGCTGGGAAAGTAGTTTTTTGTAAAATTAGGAAATGTAGTTGATTATCTTAGCTATTGTTAAGATGAGCTTTAAATTCACTTGAATATCTAGTTAATACGAACCGTGTTAATTACTCAAGTACTTGCAACACACAAAACTACAGTTTGCAATTTATCTTTTTGTGGTGGACTTGAGAGCACAAGTTCTGATTAATACCAATTTCAAATGCAATTGTATAGTCCTCCCATTTTATAAATAATGCAGAAATATTTTGATGGTGAGAACGAGTAGCATTAGTACCCAGGATATGAATTTTGTTCGACTTCAGGTGGCTAAACCTGCCTCCTAGTGAGTAACATTGTCCCCAATGAGACTGAAACTCGACATCCTTTGCTTCAAACACCAAAACGCTACTCACTAGGCCACTGAGTTATCATAGCTACTGCCCGCAAAATGGATAGAGATATTTTGACTTGTTATTCCCTGTTTTTGATTGGTTTGGACACAATTGGTCGGTTACCTTTGGCAGAAACATTATTACCACAGGAAATATTCACCTCTGACTGCCAATAAGTAAATTTAAGTGGTCACGAAAGCCTTTCAGAGACTGAATGAATTCATAATTTGGTAATTATCATGTAGGCTAAAATGTTTGGGTGGTTTGCACAAAAGCCTGCAAACATTTAGTTGTTAACGTATTTTAACTGCATTACATTTATATATATTCCTGTGCAGTAACCTGAACAGCACAAAACGTTGAGTTAAAACTGATAAGTTTAGTAGCTGAACTCACCAAAGCGGTCTAAATATCTTATCATTTAACAGGGAAACTATATTACTCATTGGTGTGAACGAGCAAGTTTATTCGGTGGTGAAGAGATAACAGAGATTAACCTTTTATTTATTAAGAGTTAACACTGTGAACAAAGAAAGATTTCTAATCATTCAATACAGTTGACACAGTGATAACACTGAAACAATACACTAGGTGAAAAGTGAAAAGACCCAGGTAGAGATTTATCAAGCTTAAAGTATCACAAAACTCTTAGGACAAAAAAAGTGCTTAAAAATAGAACTTATCCTAATTGGGACACAACCGTGTAGGCCCATAATCTTCTAACTGGTTATTCACACCAAGGTTCGCGCAGAATTCGGTAGCACTCACGCGCTGGAATAGGAATTCTGCAATTTTGGAAACACTTCTCTCGTTAGTGAATTAAACCTTGTCCAAATACCTATGACAAGACAGTTGCTAAAATGGTTCGAATAGCAATTAGGAAATCAACTCAACATTCTATACCCTTAAAATATAAGTGTACAATGCACGGCATCTTTCGCAAAAGATCCGGGCTTTTAACGACGGTTACTTTTGTAACCAATTTTAAACTTCTGTAAGACGTATTTGCAGCGAGTAAACAGTATCAAAGTTAGGTGAATGGTTCTAAGTAAAGGGAGGTAGTAAGTTAGTTAGATTGAATGCATAATTCGAATGAAATGGTTTTGACATACATTGTTTACACTTTGAAAATGCATAGATTAATATACTGTTCTGATTGTATTGGAAACAAATTAGAAAACATTGGAATGTAACTACATCAAGACACCTTAAGTTTTTGAAACCACTGGATATATTATTCTAAGCTACTTAAACGATGGACCTCTCAATCGACTGTATTATTTCGCCTGGATGATCTTCTTGTCTTCATTTTAAACACTAGACAATGTGTTGTTTCATGTTTCTATTCTTTCTAGGCATTTACAGTCATTTGTCGATGAAATATTAGAAAATCAAGACGGGTACAATATCATTTCTTGATTCATTCACATCCACTCATCAGTTTAAATCACTATAATTTACTGGAAAACAAAAATCTATTTAAGATAATTAATGATAAGTGAAATGTAAATTCATAAGAAAAAGCCATAGTAGTTGCAGAGTGGTATATGAGACGAGTAAGTTTGTTACTTACTTGCGCCTTAGCAGCTTCCCATCGACTAAATCCACTTCGCAGTAAAATTACAAAATCAGCCATTTCATGGGGAACTTCATGAACTAATATGCAGGTGGTTGTCAGAACACCTAACTAAAAATATAAGAACAAGACAGTTTTGAAGCTCTTTAACAAACACATAAAGTGAAATATTTGGTAAATTCACACGCATAGCGATAACAAATCCTTCAAAAGTCATTTCATGCAACCATATAGAAGACAGACATAATGCAAACATAGATACAGTCCAATTACTGCACAAATAGAAATGTGACTAGTTTCTTTGGCCTAAAAAATTACTTACTAGCAGCTACCATTTTGTTAATAGAGTTTGGTTTATTATTATTTATTGACATACTTGTTATTCTCCGTTGTTTTGTTGGATCGAAATGTTCGACCTTTATTGGCATATGGGCTCCTATGCGGATACCTCGATATTGCCTGGATGTTAATTACGATAAATTGCTAGCCACAACCAACCAATTTATCAGAGTTTGGTTTGTTCACCACATAACACTATACTAAGTGGAAAGAATATTCTTATGATAGCACGAAGATCGCGTTAGAAAGAATTACTGTTATGGCTTGTGTATTCTCAGCGCGACATAATAACTTGAGATAATGCATCCTTGACGATAAAGTAAAGTGACAGTAATAGGTTACTTCTTTTACGCAGATGGTATTTGCAGATTCATAAATCCAGTCACATAGCCCTTCCATAGTTAAAAAGGTCAACCATATACTGATTTGCTGGATTACAGTTTCTTTATTTCTTACTACAAGGCGCCTTCAAAAATGTATGGAACAACAGAAATCAGAAACATCGCAATGTCAAGTTCTTCTTTTGAAATACATTCTATTTCTCATATTTATCCTTATTTACATCTTGATACAATATAAAACAAGTTCCATAGGGAACCTTAAATATAATCACTGTTTTAACGAAGTGAAACGGGACTTAGATTTGAAAAAGCACTCAAAATTTATACATATCCGTGAAGCAGCGATAAACATTCTTACACTCACTTACAAGCCAGATGAAACCAATAAGCTAGTTCAAAACAACTTACACGAAGGGATACCAGATAACTTCCAGCAATAGCCACACCGTGAGTGAAATTGTCAATTACGTTGGCAACGAGATTCAAATAACCTTCAACCTAAAGAAGTGATATTGTATGAATAAAAATTCATCCAAGAACAAAGTACGTCACCATTATCAGCCAAAAAAGCTGTACCACCAAAATTACATACTCGTGAAAATAATGTAACAAGCATACAAATTTTCAAAGTTGGAATTTAAAATATTATGTTACATCACAAAGGAAAACGCATAATTTTCAAAACAAAAACGTATGTATACTAATGCTACGGAAGTTTTCCGCCGTTCGTAGATATCAAAAGAATTATTTCAACTGCCTACCAGCACAAATAGTCAATGTAGCAAATCCAATCAATCGAAAGTCTATAACTATTGTTCAGTTGTGATAAAGTTGGACTGACTATGAATAAGTGGTTGTCAACGTTTGGTAAATATTAGGACTTACCACAAACATTATAACAGACTCATACTTAACAAAGACATCACACAATGAGATAGAAGATTGTCAAATTGGTTACATCACAAGATATGTGAACTGGAAAAACCAGCATCAGTCACTGAAAAAGTGACACAGCCCTTGACAGGAAAACCATACCTTAGGAAGAGCTGATTAAATAATCATTTTATTCCTGAATTCGCTCCAATATAAGCAAGCCATGATCGACGAAGGCAAAGGAAGTTAACCAAATTTTCATACAGTAACAGACAGCTGCAAACTGATGCAGTTACGTCCCTTGATTTCAAATAGACACTGAACTCCACTGAATAAGATGTTTTGCGGTGGACTCTAGAAGTGCACGATGTACTAGATACTTATGTTTACCAACCATCATTACATCTATAACGAATTCTCACACGAATTCATCACGACAAAGTGTTCATCGGAAGTGCCTACTTACTCATCTTCATCCAACTTTGCAGCCGGTCGCTTACACTTATCCCGCATATAGCAACTGGTGGACCAAGGAATTGAATAAGTCAACAGCAATTTCTAATGTCACGACTGAACTAGGTCAAGCAGACAGAAAAGTAGCCAATTTATGAAATGGTCACCACATGCATTCCTGATGTAGAAGTGTCACTCTATTTTGGCAGTAATCCGCAAAAACGAACAAAGAAATGAAAATCAATAAAAAAAGAAGAGTTCAGGCACTTAATTGAGTCATGTCGATTTACGGGAGAATAACAACAGCTGATTATTCAAATCAAACTTGATGGGGTAGCTTCAGCAATTTACACAATATATGATAACCATTACACGAAGTAATGCATAACATTTCACCAAGCCCTACGGTTAATGGCTAATCTCGCCTGGTTAACTAGTTCACTAGTTACTAACCGGTCCTAAGCCCGGATAAAGAAGGAAGGTTGGGCATAGGACTAGCAACCCTACCCCGGAAAACCAATCCAATCGCTAAAGAAACTTCAATGCACGAAGAAGTTATAAAAAATAAAAATAAACTTCTTCCTCACTGGAATCGAGGAGACGAAATGATGCCGGTTGGTGAAAGCCTTCGGGAAGCCAATTGGCCGATGTCTCTCCTCGCTGTCGATGAAAACGAAAGTAAACATGGGGACATGGAATGTCCCCCACCATGTATGAACCTACCGAAGCTGTCGACATTGCAAAAAAGATGAGGAGCTATGAATGGAATGGAAGTGCTTGGAATCTGCGAAAGCAGATGGAATGGAAGTGAACTCTCCAAACTGTCAACTGGAGAGTCAATAATCTACTCCGATATTATCACCCAGACAACAACCACGAGCACACTCAGTTTTGGAGTGACCATCATGATGTCCCCATCAGCATCGAAGGATCTCATGCAGTGGGAAACAGTCTCCTCATGCAGGATCATGACAGCAAGATGGATTCAACTCAAAAGGAAGGAAAGTCACAATCATTCAATGCTACGCGCCAACGAATAATGCAGATGAAGAGATGAAGGAGGAATTCTACAGACAACTGCAATCGGTACTAGACAAGACTCAACTTCAGTTGGCAACATCAAAATTCTAATGGGTGGGTTGACATGAATGCCAGACTGGGAGCTGGCAACTTAGGAACAGAATCATCATGGGTCGAGAAGCACTCAGCGAAATGAACGAGAATGGAGAACTGTTCGCAGATTTCTGCACACTCAACGATTTGGTGATTGGAGGTCAGGCAGTGTGTTCAAACACAAACACAAGCATATTCACAAGGCGAGCGACATGGATTCGATTTCACCAGATGCACACACTACACTAAAAATCAGATCGACTTCATCTCAATGTGAAGAGAGTGGAGACGCAGCCTACTACCTACTGGACACAAGATCAGATGAAGAAGGGGAGCAGATGTAGGCGGTTCACACCACCACACCACTATCTAGTGCAAGGAACCTACCTTCCAAATCAAGTTGAAAGCCTTCAAACTAGCTGGTGATGATAGACCACAGTTGAAGTTGAACACCCAGAACGAACAGAAACTGAACTGAAGGACAAAACTACAAAGGACATCTTCACGTCAGTCAGTCAGTCAGCCATCAGGACAAAATGGGAGGTGTTGAGCAACATCCCTGAAGTATCAGGCGTGGAAGAACATTGGAACTCTTTGAAAGCTATGTGGAACGAAACCTGCATAACCGTATTAGGAAGGAAGAGGAAACGAGGCAAGGAATGGGTCTCGACGGATACATGGAAGCTGGTAGAGGAGGGAGGGAGAAATGGTGAAGCAGATGATGAACCAGTGGAGTGCAGGCATGCACAACGAAAAGAAGGACTGAGTACAACGTATAAAACAAGACACTGGACAAGGAAGTGAAGAAGAGTGCGCGCAAAGACAAAAGACACTTCCACGACACATTGGCAAGTGAAGCAGAACAGGCTGAGTGAGGGCTGGTAGGAGATTCAGAGACCTAACAACGTTATATCAAATAACCAGGTTGCTTACACTTACTATCCGGGAAGTGATCAACGCAGACGAAATCAGTGGGAGATAGTGAAGGGAAGTTAGTTACCAAAGAAGAGAAATAAAGGAAACGATGGGCTGACCACTTCAAAAAGCTATTGACTCGACCACGAACACCACCTGCAACTCGTTCAGAAATACCACCAGAAATGGCAGAACTACCAGTGAACCCAGGTCTCCGACAGAAGCGGAAGTCGTGAGTGCCATAACTGCTGAGATCCGGGAAAGCAACAGGACCAGATGGAATTCCGCCAGATGAACTGAAAACAGACGCAGAGACAGCAGCAGACATGCTCACACCACTACTACAGAAGGTTTGGAAGGAAGCAAGTAAGGAAGGAAAGCTACCTTCCGATTGAAGGAAGAAGGGCTACCTTGTCGAACTCCCAAAGAGAGGAGACCTAAGCCTTTGTAAGAACTTGCCAGGAAGCATGCTGCTGTCCACCCCCACCCACCCCCTATCAAAATATTATGCGTCATCCTGGAGAGACTAAGTTTCGATGTGCTCAATTCAACTGGATTACGACAGGAACAGGTTGGCTGGCCGGCTGACTCCAGGAAGAACAAATAATGTGTGGATCAAATTGCAACACTACGCTACGCTACGCATCATCATAGAACAGAGCATAGAATGAAAGTCAACTCAACACTACCTCAACTTTATCGACTTTTTGAAGGCTTTCGACAGCGTCGACCGAGAAGTAATTTGGCAGGCAGCTGCTTCAACACTACGTACGACTTTAGTGCCACAAACCTTTATCAATCTCATTCAACAGGCATATGACGACGCCACATGCCAAGAGATTCACAATGGAAAGCTTAGTGACGCCTTTGAAGTGAAGACAGGAGTGAGACAAGGATGCCACCTACTATCACTGATGATCTTCCTGATTGTGGTCGACTGGACTCCACTGGATCATGCAGCAAACCGTGAGGTGAGGAGTGAGAAGATGGGCATACGCTGTTTGACCGATGAAAAGACTGTAGAAGATTTGGATTTCGCCAACGATGATGATTTGTGTCTAGTGTCTTGTAGCACAAACTGGAAGATGTACAGGCGAAAACTAACAAGTTGACAGAAGAGACAGGGGAGCGAAGATGGGACTTCAAGTGAATGTAGAGAATACCGGAGTGATGAAGATACCCAACCAACAACAGCACCAACAACAAGCACCGATCACCATTAACGGGAGAAATCTAAAGGAAGTAGTCTCTTTCATCTACCTACCTACCTAGCTACCTACCTCGGAGGGCGGTATCGTTTCAACTGCAGGCAGCACATGCACAAACGAGGATATCGAAATTAGGATCGGAAAAGCAAGACAGGCTTTCATTAATCTGAAATGAGTGTGGAGATCCACTGCACTCCAGTCAGCAAAAAGCACGAACAGGATCCGGATTTTCAACACCAATCCAGTGAAGTCAGTGCTGCTATATTGTTCAGAAACTTGGAGCGTTATGAAAAGCACTTACAACAAACTACAAACATTCATCAACAGCTGCCTACGCTTGCTGGATACTGAAGATCAGATGGCCAGAATAATAAGAATAAGCAACAAAGCACTCTGGCAACGAACCAACCAAAAACCTATCACCCAACAAATATGTAGAAGAAAGTGGAGATGGATTTGGAAGAGATGATGTGAAGAAGAAATGAAAGCTTGTGGACCCAGGTTGAAAAGACTGCAAAGAACAGAGTGAAATGGAGGCGCGCTACTGAAGCTCTATGTTCCACTAGGAACCGAAGGGGAAAAATAATAATGGTCAGTGGCTGAGAGGGTCCAGATGGGATTATAATATGACACCATAACGCTTTGAAACACTGGTTCAGTTTTAACAGTGGCTAAGAATCTATCAAAGTAAGAAACTGTGGGTCGTTGGCTTAGGAACTTTCAAGCAACGGGTCCCATGTCCAAACTCCACATGAACCACTCCGGCCTGGGTAACCGAGTAGCATCATAAACTCCCATGCAACAAGTATTGCTCATGGCTTAGCATATACACGTGAGCTGGAATGAGTTAGATTGCTTTATCAAAATGAAAGCCCAGGGAGAATAAAATTAGTAATTGTAGGTGACACAGACAGAAAGACCTCACATACAAGTTGACCGGCTCAAGTGGCAACACTTCACAGCAGCATGCAAAGAACAAACGGTTAGAAAAAGGTGAATGAAAGGAAAAGAAGTCCGGAAACCAGGGTTAGTGGAAATTTTCAAGTTTTAGATGTCAAGGACTGAGTACATATGCGCTTTTGTGATCGATTTTCAGCCACACCACAAAGGGTCCCCAACCCCTAGTTTTTATCGCTTCGAGAACCCCTACGTGGCTTACACCGACAATAATACTTCATCGACTGATGCCACGCCTTGGTCTGGTCACCCAGAGCCTCATTTCAAACCAACATTGCACGTCGAGGTGGGCGTGGTTCGGCATATGCTAACACATGTAAAGCTACCTCGGTAGGGGAAGGTTCACAACTGCTTCGGCTAACTTGTCTTCTTTGCCTAATACTCTTTATTTACCTCGACACTGCTCATACGGTGACTTCACTGGACGCGAGCAATGATATACAGTCAATTGTTTGTGATGAACTAGTCGCACTGATACTCTCTATGTAGGTCATTTTAGAAACTTTCTTCCAATTACTATATAATCTTCAACAAATTTAATTTAAGAATTTAGGATATTGTGGTAGTGTTATCAAACATTCCATTTTACATGGGTTAAAACGAGTTTTATAAACCAAATAAAAAGGAAATCTCACCACCAACAAACTGCATTACTCTGGTGCCAGTGACATATCTGGCCATCTGTCGTAGAGAGACTGATGCACGGGAGTTTGTTCAGTCCTACTCTTCGGAAGCAAGACATGTCTGTTAAATTTGGGTGACATGGGATGGTTACAAACCCTTGATCATTGGTGTCTTCGTAACACTTCTAACAAATGATAAGGCTGCAGAGTAAGCGAATCCGATGTTGAGTAAAGTTGTAGATAAGAACACCAAGTAGTGAACTTGCATCTGTGTTACGTATGCAAAACGATTTATCACCCCAAAAATGCGATGATGGATAGCAAAATATTGCGCTGTAAAAATATCCAGATGCAAATAGAAATCATTCGAAGAAAACAAGTCACCCCCTGCATTACTTGAAGCCAAATAAATTTAGCTCTCATTTGAGTAAAAACTATGCTGAATACTAGTTGATAACACCAGAAATTATAACATAAAACACTACTGGCAACAAAACAAAACGCAATATTTCCAAATATACTTTGGTTTACAAAATGCACCGATAATATGACTAGTAATACGAAAATACCTAATGTACAGTCGTGAAGCATAAAGCCAAAGAGAAATTTAGGCACACTTCATAACAACCCCCACGAGATAGTATCCTGGTTGAAAACAAGCGGAAAATCTTTTGGATGCGCAAACAATGTGAAATAGTGTTTTGGTTGACCCTGGATGCGCCACGGGATTATGAACTACACAGCAAAGGTGCAAACTAACAGAAAAGAATGTCTCTTGGTGTAAACGACGAAACCAAGCACCTACCAAGCACGTACATGTTCATGAAGCAGGCAATCACCTATACCTCTTGTGTGAAGGTTAGTGTTACCACCTAGCTGTTTAAGCCTAGTTATTTTAAGATGCTCAAACCCAAAGTTAACTGACTGAAACAATGAGATGGCTCTAAATATACCTATATAAATCATTTGATGCGCCAAACCTTGATTCTGTGTAAAGAATATAGGCTATACTAAACTAATCAAGAAGTCATATTACCAATATGACCAACAGTACAAACTACCATCCTAAGAAATGTGATATCAGAGCCAGTCTGTAAGGATACTGTACATCTTGATTATCCTCCGGGAAAATAGCTGTCAGCTGATCTTTGCAAAACAAGTCTGTGACGTAAGACAGTGAACATGCTTATAAAGAGGTCTATCTGGGAAGTGCTATGACGCACTTCTGTTTAGAAAATAGTGAAGATTTAGCAGCTCAGTGCACACTAGAAATTAGACACTACCAACTAAGTTGGTTATGAAGAATTTAGCACGACTGGGTATATAATTGAAAGGACTCAAGGTTAAATAAAGCAGCAAGTTGTAAAAGCTTCTTGCTATGAAGGACACTTAGAATTTGATGAGTACATGATAATTGTTGGCATGTAAGTTACGCATTTAGAAAAAATCAGAATACTTTTTCGAAACTTTTAAAATGCTCATTCAACCAGTAAAAACAAAATGATTTATATGAGGCCTCAGAAACAGAAACAACCTAATTAATGTAGTAAAATGGAAACATTCTGGGGCGAAAAGTACCTCCTTGTCAGCAGAATCATGAGCACAAACTTTTTCAATTACGAAGAATAAAAGAAGTCCTGTGAGCATCCAGAATCCAGAATTCTGGAAAGAAACAATATCATCTGAAAACACTGAAACCAACAATTTATTTAAAATTACTGTGGACCCAAGACTCTGGCAAGAGGTGAATAAAAACCTCTCCAAGAAGGCTTCCGGTTGCATAACTCAGCCATCTATTAAGAGAAATCACTTCTAAACTCGATACATATGGAAAAAATCAATGAGAAGTACCTTTCTTGGAACACAAACCATTGATTGGGAGGAACAGAAGGGGGACTACACCACTAAGTCCAACGACCACAGCAGAAAAGATACACAAAAGTCCTCTCCCCCAGCATGGAAAGCTAGGGGACAACTGGATACCTAACATTTCCCCGATTTCCTTCAAAAATTTAATCGCATTCGAAAGTGTCACTGATCAGGAGAGTACCGCATCTTGGTTGATAAAAACAATTTGAAAATAGGAAGTACTTTTTAGTCCACAAGCTGCATAAAGCTTAAATATGGATTTCAGATACCCTTTATCATTTTCGACAAGTGATGTGAAACATTCAACATCCTAAATCAATAACATGAGTACAGTTTTTGAAATATCTTGTCTAACCACTGGGGTTTGGTTCTTGTTGTCCTGTCTTCCTTCAGTACTAATCAGGGAAGTCTCTTCTGCATTCCTAGTTTTAGCTCCAGGCAGGTAACTGTTTTATGATGGCTTTTATTTGACATTTACAGAGTGGGTTATTAAAGAAGCTACTGGATTCTGAGGAGACTAGGGTCTTCTTCTGACTCCTATCTGTACGTGTACCGGAAGCCTAATCGCATTATATGGGCAGAAGTGAACACTGGATTTCTCAAAGAGTAAAGCTGTACGTGCTGACTGGTATGAACTTTTTTATCGCTGTCACAGGATTCTTCGTTCTCGTCAGCTGTCAGGCCGCCGAGTAATTTTGTACCGTTTGGGGAGTATGACAACAGGCGGGTGGTTGCAGGGTTTTTCTAGGCTCCACCCTCAAAACTGGTTGACGGGTATCTCGCGGGAGTGAGTTTGAAAGCTGTGCATAAGGAAGTCACGGGTTAGTTTAGTGGGTACGCAAGAGCGGTTCCTTAGGATTACTTGCATAGTATCATTTAAGCAAGGGGAGTACTCTTTCCGAAAACAGAAATGATCCCCAAATACTTCATTCAACGTGCTGGAAATTTGGTAAGGCGTTTCATCGCGACCAACCTGTTTGGTGTCATTTCTTGATGATGTGTGTTGGGTACCATAAATACCAAGCCAAGCTTCAAATTCTGAACTAGTAAGATTGGCCATCTCTAAGATACTGTAGGCCTCTGCATCGGCCTGAAAATGGTAGCATTACCTAAACCCACTATCGGCACAATAAGTCTGTTGTACATTGTTCGCCTGATCACCATCGGTATGTTCGACCCTGGAGGTTCTCCTTTTTCCTCACTTGCCATGTGGTATGGTCCCAACAGAAGTCACCGGGGTATTTTTGTTTACGGACCTTGCCCTTGTAGAGCGCAAAAATCAAGAATTGTAAAAAAGTACAGGTGGTGGTGCCAAGAATAACGGTCATTGAAGCAAAGAGGGGACGGGACGTAATTAAAAAACAACTTTAGGTTTGTCTACTTTCAGGCACCCATCATGTGGTCCTCCGCACTTTGTCAGCAAGCTTATCTGTGATATCCAGAGACGTATGTAGCGCAAGGTAAGATACTACTCGGGGAACGATCTCCAAAGTCAACCAAATGCCAAAGTGGATGACTAGCTGAGACAGCCGACAACCACCACTTTGATGTGGTTTCGGGTGTTTGAAGAGGTGATTTCGCCGACTTTTCCATTTGGAATATGCATTCTTGAACACACGGTTGTCTAATACGTATAAATAGATGGGCGACGTTAAAAGTGGTTTCCATAAATGGGATGCTGCCAGCCAGTGTTTTCAAATGTAAAGTAACTGCAGTTAAAAGGGGGACGACAATTTAGCCGTGAGTGGTTGGTTCTAAGCTTAAAGTATTGCTACAAAGAGTGACACGGGAGACATGTTCGCAAGTCTGAAGTCTCCATATAGTGTCGCCTATCCACAAATAAACCTGGCATTTTACCGCTCAGCTAGGCGCTGTTTTGCAGGAACCTGAGTCTGATAGGGATATTGCGAGGCCGAAATACTCTGTCTTTTTCAATTCAATCGAACTCGTTTACTACACTGCCCAAAATACCAAAGGTAACAGGGGGAGAACGGGGAGCAGTAGGAGTAAGGTAACAGACACTTCGTCAAAAGTGGCTCGAACTTCCCTCTCTGGCAGACGTAGAAACAAAAAGGAAATGTGGTGGCGAGTAATCCCTCAAAATCAATAGCCCTCAAAGATTGGCACTGATCTTAACGGCGTAGAATGAATTATTCAGCTGAATGTTTATGATTAGGCATCCAAACCATTAGGCACGTCGTCTTGTAGGATGAACTGCCCATTCACGATCTCCTAGCTAACCAGTCCGAGCATCGCATTAAACTGACATGAGTTTACGGCTGCTGCGTAATCGCCGAACTGTGTCATTTGTAGGTCTGATACTCATGGGTATCCAACATGTGCGAAATTAATAGTTGGCTTTTGCGTCTGTCCAGATCGCGCGAGCCATCTTCCAAAAATATGGTTGCGGAGTAAAATTTCACACTTTCAAACGGGTTTCTGCCTGAACTTCGCATGAAAAATTACTCGTGAAGCCGTAGTTTGGATCTGCTATGTAAAGGAGCTCTTCTGTGTTTTATGGGAGTTTATTGGATGGGCTTCGGGCAGGGAAGAAAGGACCTATAGGGCAGGTGTATGTGATTTGAAGCTAGTCAGAATCGGGGAACTTTGCTTTCGCCACAAAATACCGGGGCGTATTTGGTGGTCGCATTACTCAAAAACGAAGAAGCTTACACAAAGTGTGGAGCATTTAACTCATACAACTTTGACTGTATTCTCATATGGGTAAGATAATATTAGTTGGGATTTTGCTCTTCTATCCAGCCTAAAAATTCAGCACAGTAGCGAATCCAGTAAACTTACTTCATCACTGAATGTATCGTTCACAAACAATGGACGGAGAATGCCGCCGCCGAAGCACTGGCCAAGAGATATTTTCCGGTTTCCGTTGACACTGCTCACGACTTCGTGATTTAAATATGGCCAACGTTCACATTTTTATCTACCTACCACCATAAAACTGACTTTTCTTGAGATTAGTCTCGTTGAATCCAAACGCCTAACAATCCCTACGTAGTAGGTGGGAGTGGCTGGACTTCTAACGCTACTGACTTTTGAAGGCACTTGCTGCATTAAAGTTAGAGTCACTTTGATAAAAAGAAACATGAACAGGCTAATTCCTAACTTCATTCTTGCTTCAGCTGAAGAACTCAGTAACAACAACAGAGATAAAATACGCTAATCCACGGTGCTAGACTACACTTAAATAATATAATCTTGCCTTTGTGCTGTAGTATCATACACTTCCCCTAAATCAATAGCTTAGGGCTTAGCAAGATTCAACAATGATCCTGACCTTCGTAGTTTTGTCGGACTCGCTAGACTGAAGGCACACGGTCATGCATCCACGCCATTTGGCACGTTGTCGTGTTACGTTGCACTGTTTGCAATTGACCCTCCAGCCAGCTAGCTAAAAAGCATCTGTATTCTGGTACAACCTCGCAAATATAGCATCCTATAAGACTACGCTACTGTGTTCTTCCTTGGTCACGTAATCATGGATATATTACGGGCACGGACGACTACTGACCGGCCACTGCGTCCGTAAAGTTGGCGCAAGGGCAATTCCTAGTGTACTCCACTAGCGCTTGTCACGCAACCTCTAAAACTTCGCAACACTCTGGTACCTAGTTCATCTCCCAAGTCCCCAAAAATGCCGGGGAGACGTGGGAGTTCGTCTGAAGGATAAGAAGTGTTTGGTACATTCTACTGTGTGTGGATATCTGAAGAACTGCCTTTTATGGGATCGTCCGGCTTAACTTTAAATTTGGATTACCTTGAGGACCCTACGTAATCCTTGCAAGTAAACACGTATTCGTAACACCTGAGTGTGGTTACAGAAGACAGGTCTCGGATGACATTTACACAGCTCCAGTCTCTGTCGTGGTCGGAAAGGAGGAAAAGAGGTTGCTTGATTGGTCATTTAGTTTTTTATGATGATTCTACTCCTGCGTTGCCACATGTTGATCTAAGAGTAGAAATTGCCTTGAGTTATGCAGTCTTTTGCGAACATACATCTGAGGGCTTTCAGTTCCGCTTAAATCTTGACTGTGGCAATTCCATTGAATGAAAGACTAATATTTCATCTGTGAATATCTGCATGTTGCTGGATTCAGACAATCTATTCGCCTCTGTGGAGGCTGCATGAAGCTGTAGCATTTTATTTCACTGTGTTGTGTTGATGTATGTAACAACTCATTGAACATTTTTTGTCTAGTTCTACTGAAAAAGACTTTTTGCTCGCTCGTTGACTAATACAACATTCTGATATATACTTCGCGTTAACTCCTGATATTTACGCTGTCTGACGCAGGTGGATCAGCAGTGTCGGGAATTATAAATAGGCGATAGTGTATCTGGACACGTATATAAAATTTGGAGTCAGATTTCAGAGCTCGACAAACTGGTGAGCCCGACGTGATTAAACTCTCGCAATTGAATACTGCAACCGGTCATTAACAACTGTATACAATACGGATATACATATATACTGAGAATTTCTTTGGCTGCTTTGTGGTAGGCATTGACATACTTGTTTATTGTATTTTTCCTGCTCTTGTTCTTAAACATTTTTTTTGCTGTACCAGTACTGATGTCCTTAAACTCTCATAATCAAGACTTTTCGAATTTAGGGTCCGTGGGTGCCATTAATCTTCCTATGCCTTGTTTTAAGTTTAATGACCCGCAATTGTGGTTTGTCCGTCTAGAACATTTCTTCATGGCCAATCATATAACTTCACAAAACACAAAGTTCGGATACACAAGCTCTGTTTTGCCGGAAGAAGTGGCTGAACAAGTAAGGGAGACACTACTAAAGCCCCACCCAGACACACCTTATGATGTTTTGAAGCAGGAGGTGCTGAAAGCTACTTCGTTATCTGACCAGAAGGCTGTCGATCAACTACTAAGTAGCATATGCCTCGGTGACAGAACACCTTCACAACTTAAGCGACATATGCAAAGTCTGCTGAAAGATAGGAACGTAGACAACCGTTTATTCTACCAGCTCTGGCTGCGGAGACTTCCTTCATGCATTCAGCAGATATTAGCTGTCGGAGATGCGGACATTGACAGGTTGGCTGACATCGCTGACCGTATGTACGAAAGGATGCCTAAACCGGTTGAAAGTATTGCTGAGCCAACGCAAAACGACCGAGTGGCCGCTTTAGAGAGGAAGATAGACATACTTAC